TTCAGATTGGTAGGCGTTTCTGTCCGCGTACGTACACACATTAAGTTTTTCATTTCTTCGTTTTATCTTAAAATGAAGATCGTGACTATAACAATGATGACAATAACAAAAAATTAGAATAATGTTAAGTGAGTCATAATGTCCTTTTACAGTAGCGCGACGAATCCATGTATAGCCGGTAAAAACGCGTGAAGTGAACCGTAACAATTTTGCGTAACAAATTTGCACATCTATTCTCTTGTCGTAAGCGAAAATAACGATACTGTCGATTGTAAGCGGGAGTTATCTTATATGTGCCGTTTTTTTACATCACAGACGTTTCAAAGTTCAAGGTGTGTTCAAAGATAAGAATATACGTATAATGAACTTAATCTATACAAATATTGAGAGGAATTCTGTCAATTTACTGAAATCGTAAATTTTAAAGATGCGCAATAACGTCAATATAATGTAATAGGTAGAATGATAAAGTATATAAATAAAATTTGTGTTATAATAACGTGCTTATAAATTTGCTGAATCTGCTAAATTTTACATTTTTGCAAAACAATGTAATCACAATATTGATTGTTTTGTTGTATATATTTCAGGTGACGCGCAAATAATAGATCAACAACATGCCTGCGGTAAGTATCCATCTCGCAATATAGCTCTGTTATTGCATATATATTTATAATTTATTCACATCTTCATTTGCGTCATAATTATCTTGCACAACTCATTCACGCTACTGATGTCATCTCATCTCATGTCATTACAATAAACACTATTCATTATATCTTATTTTTAACATAGACCAACGCAAACGAGAAGTCGCCGACAGAGTTGGATACCTTCCTGCCCCAAGATGGATCCAATCTTAAGGATGGCGTTCTATCCGCCAAGTAAGACTCCAATTAATTTTATTGAAAACATTAGTCGAGAGAATAAAATGTGATTTATAATGCGCAAACGTACAAAATGCGAATTGCTAAAAGCTTTGTATTCATTTAACTCTCAGATACATAGTACAAGTTGCTCCACGCGATGTTGAAGCACTGGGCGATGAGAAGAGTTTCGATCCCTTCGCGGAACGCAAAGTCGATAATCCGACAACGTAAGAATCAACATTATTCTTTTAATAATAATCTTGTAACACACACGCATATACACATAAATTTTGAATTGGAAAGAATATGAGCGTTAGGAGTCAAGTGCAGAAGATGTTACGCAAATAATACACCTATGAAGCTTGAAACTTTATTCAACAAACGCGCTTACATGTTTCGGCTCATTTTTTAGCCTTCCTCAGAGTAAACACAAACTAACATATATAAACTAAAAGTTATCCTGTCATGATGAGCTCCCCTCCATCGAGAATTTAAATGCCAGAATTAAACAAAAAGAAAGAAAAGGAAAATGAAAAAGAAGGGAAATATTAAAAATGCCGAATTAGAGAATATAGAAACTAATTTATCAAAAAACTTTAAGAATGTAATTAATTATCCCGAAAATATATAAGGACGCTCACCACGATTACAATAAAGAAGTTTCAAGCTTCATAGGTGTATTATTTGCGCGACGTCTTCTGCGCCTGACTCCTAACGCCCGTATTCTTTCCAATTCTTTGATTTATAAGGAGTCTTGGTTAGTTTGATTTGTTATACGGACATATAAATTTTGTTTTATCTTTGTGCTCTTTTATGTACTCTTTTATATCTATAAAGCGAATTTTGTGATATATACTATATATTTTTATTTTAATCGTTAATTTTTAATGATTTAGTTTGACGTGATCAATGTGTGAGTAACTATATTATGATGTTTTCAGGGATTGCGATACGTTAACGCACTTATTAAAAGCTTCTCTTGGTACTGGAATACTAGCTATGCCCATAGCTTTTAGGAGCGCTGGACTGCTTTTGGGTATCTTTGCCACGATCCTCGTTGCATTCGTATGCACACATTGCGCGTATATTCTGGTGAGTTTCTGGAGATAAAGATTCATATTTAGTCGCGTAGTTATCACTATAGATAGCTTGATTTTATCTTTCATAAGCTAGGATTGATTAACGTATCTCATTTTCAGGTCAAATGTGCGCATGTGCTCTATTACAAAACTCGAAAAGCGGAAATGGGATTTGCTGAAGTTGCCGAAACAGCTTTTAGTATCGGACCTCAGTGGGCGAGAAAGTTCGCGAAACCTTCCAGGTTATTAACTTTGTTTTTCGAACATATGATTAATTTTTTAGCAACTTTTTTAATTAGCGAATTTCTCTTTTGTTTATAGATATCTCATACAGATTAGTTTATTTACTACATATTACGGTACCTGTAGTGTGTACGCAGTAATCGTAGCCGCTAATATCAAGCAGATTATCGAGCATTACCAAGATGTTAATGTTGGCGAATACAACATCCGTTTGATCACTGCTTATTTGCTGATACCGCTGATCCTTCTTAGTTGGGTACCCGACTTGAAGTATCTCGCGCCAGTTTCGATGGTGGCGAATATTTTTATGGGAACAGGACTGGGAATAACATTTTACTATCTCGTTTGGGATTTGCCGCCATTGTCCTCAGTGCCTTTAGTAGCTACAATCGAAAGCTTCCCGCAGTTTTTCAGCATCACTATCTTCGCTATGGAAGCGATTGGCGTAGTGATGCCTCTGGAGAACTGCATGAAGACGCCGCAACACTTTGTAGGAATTTGCGGAGTTCTCAACAAAGGAATGTCTGGTGTTACGCTTGTATATATTTTTCTTGGGTTTCTCGGATATGCTAAGTATCAGGATGAGACGCTGGGTAGCATCACTCTAAATCTACCAACAGAAGAAATGTAAGAGTTTAATTTGACAGAATTGTAACTTTTATTCTTATAATAGTATATATCATTCAATTTGATTTTCTATATCTCTGTCGGTAACTACTTTACAGAGCGGCACAAGTTGTGAAGATACTCATTGCCTTAGCCGTCTTTTGTACTTTTGGTTTACAATTCTACGTGTGCCTCGATATTGCATGGAACGGTGTAAAACATCGTTTTGAGAAGAGGCCGCTTTTAGCCAACTATTTCGTAAGGACGGTGCTAGTAATAGGCGCAGGTATGTGTGTATTCAGATCTTATATATATTTTAAAAATATCTTTTAAGTAAAAAATTAATGATGTATTATGGAATAACCATTCATGTTGTATAGTTCTCCTTGCCGTGGCCGTGCCGACAATCGAACCGTTCATCGGCCTAATTGGTGCATTTTGTTTCTCCATTTTGGGCCTTCTTATTCCGGTCTTCATTGAGACCGTAACTTACTGGGATGTCGGCTTCGGACCGGGAAACTGGGTAGCCTTGAAGAATGTAATTATATGCGTGATAGGTCTGATGGCATTAATATTTGGATCACGTAGTGCTATAATGGATATAGTAAAATTATATAATGCTTGATAGACAAAACATTTTCTGTTTTTTATCTAGTACAAATATTTCTACGATATACAACAAAATTTTCTACCAAATTTAGATCTATCCATAGTATGACTAACGGTATTAATTAAGTATATATTATATACTCGCAAGCAGATTTTATTGGAATTTCACAGAATCGAATGTATTTAAATTGTATATAGGTCAAATTTTCTGATATATTTCTTTGAGATTTCAGATTTTTATAAATATAAATTTTGTTAGATCCACACTGATTTTAATAGGATCTTTTTACGGAAAATCAGTGTATTTTTTTCTATATTTACTTGTATAGATAGAAAAACTTATAGAATTTTTTAAATAATTTTTAAAATAACGTACGGATATTTTATAGGACAGAAATTAAAAGCAGATTTAGATTTAGGGGCAACAGCAGTATTCATTTAACAGAAAATGCAAAATAATGAATTAAGTACGAATATTTTATAGGACAGAAATTAAAAGCAGATTTAGATTTAGGGGCAACAGCAGTATTCATTTAACAGAAAATGCAAAATAATGAATTATCGTGAGCGTAATGTGCGAATGTATCCTAAAGAATGCGTGAAGTTTCTGTAGGAAATAATTTTTATATTATTGGAATGTTTTGTTTAACTTTACATAAAAGTTCTGCATTTATACAAAATTATAATTAAAGAAGTTTTAGGCTAATTTATCAATTTATGAAAATTATTTTTACAATCTTATAGAAAGATATGGATAAAGTAGCGTGTCGCGCGTAATTTTATTAATTTCACTCAAATGTTGCAATTTAATATTGTTTTAGTTTGTATTTTAATATTACAAAAATGTTATATAAAAATTAATATATTTTTATGAAAAAGACGTTTTAAGGATTTGGAATCGCAAAAACTACAGAGTTTGCATGAAATGAATATGTGTTATCTGTGGAAAAAAAATATATTGCTCAAGCAAAGTGTACCACACAGCCTTCCTGCATTGCATTTAGAATTAACATCAAAATATACTTTTCCGAATTGATATACGCATGGTGTAATAAGACAAGGCGAAACGTTGCATATAAGAGTGATAGCATACTGAAAACGATCAATCAAATTTGAGTCCAAATGCAATTTCCTGCATATACAATAGTAGTATACTTAGAACAGCTAATCAAATTCACTCTTCTACTACACATTCGCGGGAACGTTTTACTTTGTATTTTTACATCATAGATTACATAGGAGACACGTAATATACTGTTCCTCTTCTTTTATGAACGGATAAAGTTTGTATCGATATAAATGAAACTTTTGCTATTTATAACGCATGGCACTGGCTGAAGTTTACATAAAATATAAATGATTTTACATTTTGTTAAGACAGCTTTATTCCTCAAATCATTTTTCCATTTTTTGTCTTACATGAAATATCATGTATGTATATAATATTGTAATATGAATAGATTTTACATAAAATATTAATGCTGTAATCGAATTGTTTTGTTATCATTGCCAATTAAAACAAATAATTTGAACATTTTACAAATAAAACATTCTTTTATTTTTTTTCTTGTAAACTTATAAGCTATACTTAATACACAAGCGCATTATTAAAATATAAAATGTTAAAGACTGTACAACAGAGTAACTTTAATTGTTTTTTCAGTATACATTATGGAGTTATGTATACACATCAGGTATCTTGTAAATGTTCCAAAAAAGATCCAATTAATGTCGGCATAACAAATAAAATTTATTTCTCTAGCGGTGCATAATTAAGTAATTTTTCAATTAAATCTACATGTCCAAGCAGCATCCTACGACAGCAGTATCTTTTCAGACCTAGTGCGTCCAAGGCATCTCTGTAACATACATATCTTTATAATTATACTTCATCTTTTTGTTGTTTTAATATATTAGACAAATTTTTTAATCTATTGATTGATCAACTGCATTGTGTAAATATAGTTTTTACAGATTAAAATTGCGTTTGTGCTTAATGTGATTAATTAATCATTAGCTGCATTCAGCAGAACATTTATTTTGTAACTGTTGGAAGTTTTCAACAATCATAAAACAGTCGCAAAATCATCGTGTTCTGCTGAACGCAGCCAATAGATCTGTTTTTTTATTGCTGCACTCTGAACCAGTGAAATAAGTTAAAGTAAAACAAACATATATTTGTTTCACTTCAACTTATTGCATTGTGTGTACTAGTTCAGAAAGTGCGGCAATAAAAACAGACCTAATGACTGCATTCAGCAGAACGTTTATTTTGTAACCATTAGAAGTTTCTTCAGAGATAGAATTTCTCTAGATTTAAAAGTATAATTACAATAGTATAAAGGAATATAGTTGCAAAGTAAACATTCTGCTAAACGCGGCTAATGAATTAAAGAACTCGTTCATTATCGTTAAAATAAAACAAAAAATGACTATTAAAAAAGGTACTTGTCAATTGATGATTCAGTTTCGAGGTTAGAAATAAAAACAAGACGCTCTTACCCTTCGGTATATTCTGCTTGAAGGAGTCCCAAATATGCTTCCCATTTATTTCCAATGACTTTTCCGCAGGTAAAGCACCGCACAGGAATGATCATCGTGATAGCTCTTGATTTGCAGCTTGATTTATTATGTTTTTCACTACGAGAATCCGAATTCCATGCACGTGGAAATTGGAATATAGAACGTCATAAAGCGTCGTTATATTGGAGGCGTCACTACACTGCACTCTGCAGTGCAGTCAAGTGCAGTTAAATCTGCGAAAAGGTTCAACAAAAGATTGCCACATCATTTTCAAAACTAGAATTTACAGCTTGCAAGCATATAAAAATGCGCGTAGGGGCGGGTGGGGGAGGATCCCGTTTGCCTACAGTTCTGATTGTACACATCACTCATATCAACTCGTGCCTAGTAATTTTTCACAGTTTTGCCAATGAGATTATTTTATTTTTAAATTGGCCAATCAGCGATACATGTGTGCAATATGCGATGTGTGCAATCGGAGCCCTCCCAAAATAATCTCATTAGCAAAACAATGAAAAATTACTAGGCACCAGTTGATATGAGTGGTGTCACCGACGAGATATTATTAAAGACCGTCAACCCTGGGCAAATTTTCGGCGGTATAAAAAGGGCCCCAAGGGCCCGGAGGTAATTCAAGAACGCTGACATTACCGACGATTGATATAAATTTGCTATTATTAACATAAATATTTGGCTCATGCATTATTAAATTCATGATTTTTTATTACATAAATGTCCCATTAATAAATATACATACTTGTAAAGCTGTAATATCCTATATATTGCAAAAAAATCAAACTTTGATGATAACACTGAAATCTCAATTTTAAAGAAAAATCGAGTATTATTGTGTTAATAAATGCATAAATACATCTACGAAACTAATAAATCATAAAATTAATACAATATTATCAGTTTTTAACTCTTAATCACTTCAATATTCACAAGGACGCAAACTCCCGTAAGGATGTCGGTCTTTAATAGTATCTCGTCGGTGGTGGTGTGTACAATCAGAACTGTAGGCAAAGCGGGATCCTCCCTGCTGCATATAAGAGTTTCAGATTTTACCCATTTAAAATAAGTAGCTAGCAGCCTACAGAAAACCTCGAAGAACAATCCTATGCTTTTAGAAATGAGGTAAGGGCTTTGGTATAAAAGAAAAGAGTCGCCAAAAATTTCGTTCGTATACCACGAATAAAATTGACGTGAAGCCACGAAACCGAGCAGTATTTTAGTTGATCTCTTCCTAAGAGATGGCGTTGCAATATATTAGATAAGGACAGATTAATGCGTTTAAGCGAGACACAACGATATATAATAAGTATAAGAAATGAATGAAAGGTGTCAATATTGTCGAATTTTGAATTTAAAAAAGTTTGTACATCGACCCTGATTAAGTTCGACCGTCACTCCAGCATCCCCTTAAGATGGTTTTGAAATAAGAACGCACTATGAATACCGATCGTAAAAAAATAAAAAAGGGAGTAACAATTGTAATATTACAGAGCATTGTTGGCATGGGCGCAAGTAGAGATTTTTCTCAAACAGGGCAACAATACAACAATGCTCAATCTATTGTTTCGGAAATTTCAGCGTTTTGAATAAATTCCGGCTTGAAAAGAAATCGTGGCTCGGCGCGGTGGGAGGGCTAAATCTGAGGTTCTTTTTAGAAGTAGCATTCTTTCTCTCTTTTCGAGATGAAGAGAAAAAGAGGAGTGACAAATGAATGATGCATATTTAGCTGAAAAGAAGTAAAAGAACAGACCTTTTGCTTTAAAAATGAGTTATGTGAGAAAGCAATATTTTAACAAACAATACTATACATATTGCATGTATTAAAAAAATTAGTTTTAAATTAGTTAATGTTTTTCTCATTCTCTTGTGAGTGTATAATTGGATTATTTTATATAATGTATATTTTCGCGCGAGAAAAGCCGATGAATGAATGTATGTGTGTGTCGCGTACGCGTACGCGTTCCTGCCGTTCGTGATCATTAGTATGATTAATTTAGATTAACTCATAATAATATAACACTTATTTTATTATTCATTATTATCCTGATGTTTCGTAGACATTGGTAGATCGATATGGTCGTATTTTTACAAAAGATAATTAAATTAATAGCTCACAAGGGGACCGTCATCGATTTAATTATTGTTACTTTAGATATGTGTAGTAGCAGGGCATAAAAAAATATTAGATCCATATTTTTTTATTTGCTATTATCTTAAAATTTAGAAACAAAACATCCAAAATAATGTATTTTTGTATTTTGAGCTAATATTTACTATATGTATAAAAAAATGTCTTGTACAATTAAAAGTTTTATAGTACTTCATATTCTTAATAAACGGTGTCAAATTTTTTAATCTACTCCTAGGGGTTAATTTCGACCCCTAAACTTTGAGATATTAAGCAATTAAATAAATAAATATATAGTCTAATAATATATTATTTAATGCTCCACAACATATCCAAGTATAAGTACATAAAAATCGGTTCCCTTAATTATCAGTGTAACGCAGTCATTTGATAAAATTCATGAATGAATCAATCAATCAATGAATCATTATTAATTCATTTCAATGAATTAGTCATTTCATTTTATGAATCATTTCATCCTTGTTTACCGTATGATTACAGTATGTTAATCATCTGTCTCTCGGTAAAAAATGCCGTGTCAACAAAAATTATATCGATGATCGATAATTCATACTTGCATGGCAACGAGCGTGGTCCACGTACGCGGTACGCCACACGTCCCGACAGTCGCCATTTCTCCGCGTCGAACACACTTACACACTGAACTCCGAACAGTCCGAACCGAACTCCAAAGTGGAGCCGCGTCGCGGAACAGCTGCGATCGAAGGGGCCGCGATGGCTGGCGGGAGCGCACGCTTTCGCGAAAAGGGGGGCGACCGTCGACCGATGGCGTTGCGTGGTAAAGGGGGATAGGAGGAACGAGAGGAGGAGGATGAGGAGGAGGAGACCGCGTCGCGATCCGGATACTTAGTAGTGGTGATAGGCACGCATACACGTAGTGGAGAGGAAAGAAGCCCGCGATAGGGGAGAGAATGAGGAGAGAACGAGAGCTCGCGTCGTAAACACGAATGCACGAACGTACGTACGCACGCACGCACGCACGCACGACGCACGACGCACGCATTTATTCTCGCACGTACTTACGGCACGGCCAGCCGGAGCAGATGGAGTGGACTGTGAGCTTTCTCCTTTATCGTCCGCTGAATGGAGGCATGCTGTGAATACTATACGGTGCACCGCCACGCTCCTTGGATCTTCGCTGTAAGAATCGCGCGTCATCGGGCACAGTGGCCGAGGGGGGAAAAAGAGCGACGGTTCGTCCATCTGTCTATTCATTTGATTCGCGGCGGCGAGGTGGCCGCGG